TGTATTAACGTAATTCATAGCATATTTATCGCGATAAAGTTTAATAGCTTTAAATATTGTGAAAAAAATTTAACAGAAATGTATTTCTTGTTTCTTTTTTTTTGTAGATAATAACTATAATAACTATAATAACCACATGTCCTATGAATCGTTAATTGACATTAAGGAAAAAATCGAAACTGAACATTAAGACGACAGAAATTACTTTCTTACAAATTATTGAATGTTTTGTAGTTTTATCTATTTTTATGACATAAACTATTTTAATGATCGAATATTATTGTAAGAAGAAAATTAAAATATAATTATTACTAAAATTAATTATTTTAATAATTGCTTTTGAAAATGGTAGGTTTTATAGGAATTACACATTCAATGAATAATATTTAATGATGGCAATGATATTAATACTACGAGAGTAATTTATAAAATAGATACTAAAGAGACAAATATTGTCTATTTAGATTAATATTAGTATTATATGTATCTTTTCAATCGTGTTAGATTACGGTCGTTACACATGTATATCAATAATTATAAAAATTTTAATAATGACATATTTAAGTAAAATTATCCAGCAGAGTCGTCAATCATTTAATTATTATATTAGTGATTCATTTCATCAATATTTTTTCATTAACTGTCAAGATTAAATGAAAAAGATTTATTTAAATTGTATTTTATATTATAATTATGTGTCCAAATACTTATTCACGTGTATATACAAATTTGAAGAAATTCGCCGTATCTTTAATTCCATTACCACTGTATGAATCGCGCATTGCTGATCGAATTAGGTACTTCGATTATCATGTAACTTTTGAGTGTTTTATTCTTGAAAAATATTTGCTGCAGGAACAATTGCACGAATGAAGTTTAAATTTTATATAATAATTTTTTAGGGCTAAAAATTTGAAGACAAGAAGTGAACAGAAAAGTATGAACGAATTCTATTAATTCTATAAAATTTTTAACTTGCATAATTATATATATTTTCGTTCCTAATTTTCAAATATATATTTATTTAATTTGACATTTATATAGGTTTTACTTAATTACAATACATGATATTGAAAATAAAAATTTTGCCATGAATAAACAAAATTACATCCATGTAACATGAATATTGTTCCTATTTATAGTGAGACAACTATATTGACGTAACAAATGTCAGATTTATAATAGAAGGAACAAAGTAGAATATGTTTAACATGAATTAAAATTAACAAAAATAATTGGAAAAATATAAATTTCAATTACTTTAACAATTTTTTTGTAATTTTTGGAATATCGGAGCACTTCAAAATCTCTCTCTTGCTTAATTTCGAAAAAATGTTCCGACTCAATTTTCGACGGACCCCTTTGTTATTTGCAACCAGATTTAATTTTCCTGTCTTACCGACAGTAAAACGAAGATTGGCGAACAATCATACGCATAAACTGGTAGATGACTCAAAAGGATATTTCCGAGTGACCACTCGTATCATTCACCACGTCTTTCGAGACAAGGAAGTATAAGGTATTGATTAATAACCAAGTAAAAGTGGACAAAGATGGCTTGTAAATTTTATACAACATTCGTGATCAAGTCTTCGATATGAAACAGTAAAACAGAAAAAAAAAAAAAGAAAAGGAAAGGAACAAGTCGTAACTCTTTATAAACACGACGAAATAGATAAGAAGATGGAGTTACATCACATGCTAATAAAATTAATTATCAATCAAATCGCTTCGAAAGATCAAATTCCAGAATCCGAATGGCCAAACATCAGAGGATGACCTATTGCCAAATTTGACGCGTCCGAACGTCGCGTGTCCTAGGCGTTTTCGCGTAACCTTAGAAAAAGAAATCCTATAGCCGTGGGTTATAAGAATATACCGGTGTGTTCACAACTGTTACGCGTGATCCTTTGGCTCTCTCTTTCATCCTTTTTTTCGGGCAGAGATTTATTGCCAAATTACCGGACCATAAGACGGTATATGCATTTGTATGCATATACGTAGGCGTAACACGAAAGAGAAATGAAGTTACGCGCGTTTAACAGTGAAATTTGAAAAGCAAACAATTATTTAACTATGTCACTGTGCCCTTTACGAGTCGTTGCGAGAGAGACGCAGAGTTCACGCTTTCGTTTAAATTCGACGGGTCATCGTCGCGAATTAAAAAATCACAATCAGCAGATAAACGAGAAACTTTAATAAAAATTAAAAAACATTTACTTTCGATCATTTAGATTCTGATTTTAAGATACTCTTTGTGACAGCACATTCCGATGTAATAATTTGAAGGAAGCTTTTACTGAGAAGAAAAAAAGGATATTTAAAGAAAGATGACGATCGTCGAGTAAGAACATAAAAATGTGAAAAATTTAAATAATTGATACAATAAAATTATAACTAATTTTTACTGTTCTGTTTGTTTTTTGTTACAATCTGGTTGGAAGCAAGAACAAAAACTTTAAAAATTAATATAGCAATATTGAATTATGAAAAATAGCATTTACCACGTATGACGTGTAAACAAATTTCTTATAATGCTATGAATAATTTAACGTTGAATGTAATATGATTATATAATTAATAGAGATGACATAAAATTCATGGAAAAGAAATAGCATTGAGATGTCAGTGAATTACATTTCATTACAATTTTACTCATACCTTTAGCAAGTAAATTATTAAATAAAGATACGTTATTTAAAACATAGTATAAAGTAATAAAAAGTACCAAATAGAAATAAATTTTGTGAAAAAGTATGTAAATTATCAAATAAAATAAATTAAGTAAAAAGGACATAAAAAAAAATAGAAGAAATAAAATAAAAATGCTAAATGAATGTAATATACATATTTAAAAATAAAAATAATTTTAAAAAAATAAATTTTTCGTATTAATTCGCGATTAATTACAATTTTAAATTTCTATAAAAAAAGCTACTGCTGCGAATTTTATCAATAAATTATCATATTGTAAAAAATATAACATAAATGACTATACTGCAGATTTTTATACATTTACAGGAAATTTGAAAGTGCAAAATTGCACGTAATATGAAAAAATATACAAAACATTTCAAAGTAAAATAATTTTCTGAAATAGAATTTTTAATCTTACTGAATGCTCACTTGATCAGAATTGCCAGAAATCTAAAAGTTTAACATTCAGCTGCATATAACGAATTAAGAATGTCTCATTCGTCATTAAACATATATCCTGACATGTTATCCTCTTTGAGGTAAGTGAATTATTTTAAGCTATGTGATATATTAATACAGAGACTAATTATTTTAAGCTATGAAACACTCGAGATATTAATTACATTAGCAGAGGTATGAATTTATATAAAAATATATTTATAAATGCTTCAAATTTTGGAAACGTGCCAAAAAGTTGTGACATAGTTGAGAGAGAAACAAAAAAAGCGATACCAACATTGTATGCTGATACCGTTGTATCACAGTATGTGGCAGTATAAAATTTATCAAGCAGTTGACGCATATTTCCGACATCAGAAAGAATTTGGCAGTGATCCTTCTGTCACGATGAAGATAAATTAGCTCATGTATTCGGTTCACGTGCTTTGGCCAAGGCTCCAGAGATTTGTTACACGGCTGAATTTATAACACACGCAAAATACGAAAATTCGCACAAAGGGACCACCGGGTCAATGAAAGCATCGAAAATGAATTCCATATTTGGAATGCTTTTTGCGGACTCCGTCTTACATGTGAACACATTTAAAAGTATGACATCCAGCCCGCTGTTCTTTCTTATCATCTCAATCTATGACGAATTTCGAAATGTTCATCTTTTGTGAAAATGAAGGCGAAATGTCATTGAAACGTTGCTAATAAAAATAAGATATCTTTATTACAAGGAAGAATAATTACTGGTGACGTTTTTAACCTAATTATTTTATGTATTTATAAGAAATTCGAGAGTGAAAATTTGCACAGAAAACACATAATACGAAAAAATGTATAAAGTGTTCAAAGTGCTTAATACGTAAAACAATTCTTTTCGATAGTTTTAATTTATTAATTCCATTTTCAAAAATATGAATTTACATAAAAATCCGGCAGTGATAAATTTAACGATAATAATAAATAGATATTATCAATAAAATGAGATAAATTTGAGATTTTATAAATATTTGTGCAGTTTGCAAATTTTGTGGAATTCAACATTTTTAAATTTCGTATAAATATACAAAAATCCACAGTCGTCTCATAAATTATTGATATTTAAATTTACAACTTGTTCGGTAGCAATTTTGACACTTCTGTTATTTAAAAAAAAAAAAACGGTAGTTCAACTTAACTTTATTACTTTGATAGAGTATCTATCTTATAGTTTGAGTGCGTTTATGCGAGAAATAAAACAATTCGAATCTTTTGTTAAAAAATAGAAATTTTATATCATAACGATTATAAAATACGTAATTGAAAAATTTTTCAAATATTTTCACATATATTTTTCATTATCCCATAGATAAGAATAAGAAATTTCAAGAATAACATACAACTAAAACATTTCATTGATTGAATACAACAATTAGATATCAATAATCAATATCTACTTAACTCTTGTTCCACATAAATCATAGGAACACGTATCAATGCTTTCAAAAATATCAGAAGGACAATCGCACTTTAAAAAGTAATGCCTATTCTTTTAATTTCCAGCTTGCGAACATAATTTTTTATGAAGATATTTCTTAGAAAAGTCTAAAATATTTCGTATCTTTTTTTTCCTTTTGTTTTCCAAGTTAACTATCTAAATTATACTCACGTAACACAGTGGTTGCAAACTTTCTTCAAGCCGTCGTAAATATGAATTTTTCTTCCAAGAGGACTCATGAACATGTCGCAGAGACACGGTGTTGTACGTTGACAAGACATCGCGCATCTGTACTGTGGTCAGCACTCTGGTTGCCCCTCTATTAGACCCCTGTCTGAAAATTTCGTAATATTTACCAGTGTCTAAGCCTCGGTCAGAAATCTATCAATGAGAGAGAGGTCCTCGCACCTCGCAAGGTTTCGGCAGCACTATATAAACGCGTCCATTAGACTAGCTCTTTACAACCAGAAAACAACTCCGATCAACATGAACACTTTGGTGAGTTGCTTACGATATCTGTCCGAACTGTCGCTGAAATCATGTTAACTTGTTTTACAAACTTCATTACTTTCATATTGAACGTTTTGTTTCATAAGAGTTCTCTTCTCGCCTATTACTCAACTGACAAATTTAACAACATTGTGACATTAAAATAACGTTGGTACTACGATCTTGAAGGGCGAATTTATTTTTTTGTTTGCAGTTGAAATCGATGAGTATAGATAATTTGTGTTAACACAAGTGTAATTTATTTTTGACAAATGATACATTGGTTTTTAAACATTTTTTTTATTTGAACAATATAATACTCTTTATAATAATACTTTTATAGTTTATAGGATTTTTTTTTCTAAATTTCATCGGTACCGTGAGAGAAATGATTTTAGAAAATGAAAGAAACTAATTGTTTTTTTTACAAATTATTTTCCAAAATAATTCATTAATAGTTTATTTATTTAACGTTATTCAAATTACGTATTATTTGAAATATATATTTTAAATTGAAAAATCCCAATGTAAATATTTCACAAAGAATGCCTATCGTTGAAACATATCATGAAGTATAGTTAAAAAAAACTTCGAGTTTAAAATTATACGATAATATACATTATTATAATTTATTGTAAAACTTTTCCGCAATACATATTTACGACTAGATGTTTCTGATATCATCAACAAACTTTTATTATTTCAGCAAAGTACTACTTGTCCAATTAAGATCAAAAGTAAAGTACTATATCGTACTAATAAAATATTATTATAATTATATAATTAATTAAATATAAAAGAAATAATTCACAATTAATTAAAATTAGATTTAATCTTACAATCATATCAATTATATACCAGTTTTATAAATTGAAACTAATCGTACATATCGTTGCAATACAAAAATCTGTTACATGTGTAGTTATATGTACTACTATACGATCCATTCATAAAAATCTGTTCCTAAAGTCCAAAAATTTATTTCACAGACGTTCATTTGACAAAATCATGCAATTATACAATTGACACGCAACAGAATCACAATAAAAATTTGTGTTTCAGTCGTACGCTGTCTTCGCCGTCATTGCGGTTTCCGCTTACGCCGCGCCAGTGGATAATAGCACACCGGTGCCAATTCTGGCGTATACCGCCGATGGACCCAATCCGGATGGCTCGTACAACTTCAACTACGAGACTGGAAACGGCATTAAGGCGGAGGAACACGGTCAACTGAAGCAACTGAACGAGACGAATTCAGTGATCATCGTTCAAGGATCCTACAGTTATTCGGATGCTGACGGAGCTCCTGTTGCCCTGAGCTACGTCGCTGACGAGAATGGTTTCCAGCCAAAGGGCGAACACCTTCCAACCCCTCATCCGGTACCAGCTGGAATTCTAAGAGCCTTGGAATACATTGCTGCACACCCCGAGCAAGACAATGCGCGTTGATCGCGACACCACGCTGATCCTACAGTAGAAATAGGACGTAATTGACGCGACGATGAGTCAAGTGCGAAAGTTTCAAGACTCATCGTAATGCAGAATATTTTTATAGACTCGTTTCGTTTTGCCCACTTTCTCCGTTTTCATCGTCGAACGTCCGCCAGATCTTATACAGCGATCCTAAACAGTAGTCACAACTGTAACACAAAATCACTACGATCACCAATTATATGATTTAACCATCGACATACAGTGCAACATTTGTGTAAAATTGTAAAATGTATATTGGTTTTAATTTGGAAATAAATGTTTAACTGTTTAAGTTGAACTTGCGTTTTCTCTTTCGAAAGAAGTAGCTTTTCTTGTAACAATTGCCCTTGCTTTTGTAACGATTTTTTCCTTCCGATTCCGACATTTTCTCCTAAGTAAATGTGTAGTTTAAGAAATTCGACGTTTAACAAATTTCAATTATGAAACAAATGTTTAGATAATGAAGTTAAACTTTGACAGTGTTTTTTCGTGACTTTCCTTATTGCCAACTTATAACGATTCTTTGTCTTTTCCAATTTTCTGCACTTTTTCCTAAGTAAATATGTAATCTAGAATATTCGAGCTTTAACAAATTCCAATTATGGAATAAATCTTTGGGTACTATATAATCTTTCCAAACATTTCGTAAATAGGTAATTTGAAAAATGTGACCTTTCACAAATTGTACGAGAAACAAATGTCTTTTATGGTATTTGGCTTTAAATTGACAGAAAATCTTTTATTATTGTATTATTTATTTACGAAAACATGAACGCAATGATTTAGGGTATAGAATATCTATAGTGATTTGTACTTATTGTATCTTACAATTTCAATCTTCTTAAGTCAAAGCTAAAGAAGAGATCATAGAAGAGATTCAATTAAATTTTTAAGTTGGAAAGTAAATAATGTTGGAAAGGAAATAATGCTTATTTACTTTGGAAAACAAAACATTATACAAGAGTAATTTCGTTTGATGTTGATTTATTTGTCATATTTATCATTATTTATCAATAATTACTAATGCGAATAATGTTCAGATAAATAATATATTATATATTAATATTAATAAATAATGTATTACAATCATCAGATAATATATTTGAAATAAAATGAAATTACATAATCGGATTTATGTTATTTATGTTGAATAAGACAGTCCAAGAAAGTTGTACATCAAAGAATAAAGAAAAATAAAGAATAAAGTCTAGTCATGAACAAACATTTTCAGTATTTTTATATATTATAACAGTTTGTTGTATTCTCAAGAAAAAAATATTTTCACCTTCCTATTCGCAACATGACGTAAAAATAATTGAAAGAAAAATGCATCGTAAATAAAGATTTCATATTTTAAAATGATTTATGATTGTTATACGAAAATATAATAATTTAAGCATCAATAGTTTCGAAATTCAAAGTTCATAAAATGTTAGTATCCATTTATTTCAGTCTTTTACGAGTGTTTCGATATTATAAGGATTCAATGTTACAATATCATATACAGTTTTAAATAGTTGAAGGCTAATCATTTCACTTCATCTAATTTGTGTCTTATTTATTAAAAATAATTAATGATCGTACAAGCTATGATATAGTTAAGACAAAGTAGCTTAATTCAAATTTAATGCGAATTATTTCAGTCATTAAAATTAAAGTTATTCATGTTAATTATTATTTCTTATTAATCACTTTTTTATTCAGTATATTTTTAACATTGCTTACAAACAATTTAATTTAAAGAATATATGTTTGATTTTCTCTTTCATCGATTATCGTTCTTCATTATTTATTGTTCATTCATATCAATTTTCACTGTTAATTGATTTTGTACGAAGATATATAATAGGATTCACATCAATCAACTTTTATTAGGCTGAGAAAGCTAATCTCATATTATGTATGTACATCAAATTTTGTAATACATAATGCGCCGCTTCTGTATCGTGGAACAATACAGCATAATTGCATAATTGGATGATAAATTACGCTTGTGTTTAGACACATGGGTTTGATTATTCATGCAGATTAGTCAGATGTTTCTTCAAGGAATTGATTAACGTTTCTTGCATCGTGTAAAAACGTTATTTGTAAACAAAGCTGAACATATAGAAATTAATCATTGAAAAATGAAAATTCTCGAAAATATAGATATTACTTTTTCTTGTGCGTACTCTTTTATCTCTAATGATTAGTCAGTTTAATTAAAATATACGCATAGTATAGTTTTACATGCTCTAACTTTATTTCAATTTTATTTAGTTTATCACTAATAATTCATATATGACGTAGTTTTCGAAGATATTCAAGAATGAATATTCAAAATTTTTGCAAAATTCTTTGAAACACTATTTAATTTTTTATTTGCACATTATCTTCGTATTGAGAGGAGATACTAATATTATGAATAAATTTTCGTTTATTATATTTTCTTATTTTATGAATTAGAGAATCTTTCATTTTTTTCAGCCAACTTGTGTTTTCGAACTTCCAGTAATTATAATTGAAGTATTAATAAAATTTCGTTTGTTTAAATATATTATTTATCAAGTACGAAGAAATCAGTGAATGAATAAATATCTTTAAAAAAGTTACTATCTCCAGCAAGTGGTAAAAATATTATGAAAAAGTTTTTCTGTCTACTTCTTTTTCCTTTAAGTTATAAATTTAATGTTATATAAATTGCATGAAATTACTATTACTCGTAATAATATATATAATAATAAATTAAAAATTGTTAAGATGGAAGTCTTTTAAACATTCCAAGGTTCAATGTACTGCTTTAGGGCTGCGTGAGTTGTTTCTTAATGCTACCGATGACTAAAGTATAAAACTTGTACGAGGGAAATTAAATTGCTCGAAATAGGAAAAAGTTTTTCACACAATAAAGGACACGAATTTTTATTTAAATATTCTGACAGAAAATTATTGTATAAATGCATCGTTACAAATCTATAAAATTTTTATAAAAGAAATTGTAAATTAATCAGTTTAACTACTTTGGTTCTATTCTAGATTTAAATAAGATATAAATGCTGCTCGACTCAATGGATTGAAAATTTGGAACATTACAATATAACATGATATATTACAAACATACTTTTTCTTTCGATAGATAACACAATATTGTAAGCGTGATAAAAAAATATTATAGAATGTTTATTCAATAGAATGTTTGATTAGTTGTAGCGTCGCAATATAGTATAATGATCAAAATTCGTTCCGAATTATTGACAACGACCACGTAAGTTTAGATTAATAGTTCTACATAGCTCGCACTTAATCATTTTGACTACTTTAGTATCTCGAATATTCACTTTCAGTTTATATTGCTTTATAAATGTGGTTCTCAATCATATACAGATTATTAAAATACAGTAATGTGTTACCTTGAAATTTATATTCAATTAATATTGGTTCATAAAATCGTAGTTCTCAATCATGTAAATATTATTAAAATATAGTTAAACTTCTATAGTAAAGCTTAATGATCTATAATAGAAGCTCAATGATCCTTTGGCTTACTAATAACTTTTCATTCAATAAAAGTTAATAAAAATTCAGGTTTAAATAAATGAATTTAATTGATAAAAATTCATTTAATCAAGTATCAACTAAAATTTGCTTCGAATAAATGGAGTTTATTTAAACGGAATTCTATTGTATATTATTTTAAATATATTAAAGATTTCTAAAGTGAATTTCTAAAATAGCAGATATAAATTTAAACAAGGAAAATTCTTATATAATTCTATATATAAGAAATATTGCATATATTTCTCATCCTTGAATCATTCATTCTTATTTCTTATTTAACCACTACATTGAACGGAAAGCCGATTTTTATGTTGTATTTCTGGTATGACTTCTTAATTAAATGTTTAAATTTTTTAAAATTACATTATGAGTATTTTTATTCATAAATAAAATATTCATAAAAAATTATTCATAATAAAATATTCTAGCGTAGTCATTTGTCGTAGCGTAGTCACTTTTTTTTGAGAAAAAAAACTCGTATCTCATATATTAAATGGAAATAAACAATTATTATCTGTTGGTAATCAAACTGTGATGTAATTTTATTTTTCCTTGTTTTCTAGAATTGTCTGTCACGTTCCTATTGATCTGACGATTTCATCGATGATTCAAGATTTGAATCACACAAAATGTAATGAAAAATTTAGTACTACGAATATTAAAATTAGCTAAAATTGGATGATCAAGAGATAATAAATGTAAACAAGAAAAAAATTTAATTCTGTTATACATAATCAATAAGATTTTTATGTTTATCAATATTCGAAATATACTGAATAAATGACATAATAATTTTCAAAAAGTTTCATTTATTTCCTATTAAGTTTTCAGATTTAAAATGAAAAGCATAACTGAATATCGATAACGATGAAAAGTTGTTGATAATTTAGACTGTTACAACTTTGTTACAAAAAATTATGTAACAATCCATTTAATTCCATTTTGAAGAATAAAGCCTATACTTTGACAGTTCTGAGTTCGTTTATTTTCAAAGATGATACTACATCATATAACTGACTGGAAAAATAAGAATACTGGAAGAATAAGAATAAAATTGTAAATTGTCAAACATCTTTAGAAACATTAAAAAATTTTTTTTATAAATAGATCCACCATTGAAGAGCGAATTTTCTTTTGACAACGATCCTTGAAATTTTAAACTTGCTGTACGATTTTTTTTTTTTCACTATTTCATTCAACTTTAAACTTTGAACTTTAATAGGATTAGATGACAAAATGTTAACTGCAATTTCATTATTTCTTGTTGTTTAATTATATAAGAGAGAAAAATATCGTACAGGAAGATCTAAAGGATCTCTGTGAAATATGACTTCGATCTTCAAAACAATGCTGAATATTCACAAAAAATTTTTTACAATATTTTTAGAAATATTTGAATTTTTACAATTTTCGAAAAAAATATCCCATTTGTTACATAAAGTAGAAACATCTTCGAAAAAACGAATTTAGAATTATTAAAATGGATTGTTATATGATTCATTTTCTCACGAAGTTACCGACAATTTTTCTCCGTTCAGTTCTCTGATTTCTGTATAAATATGAATCTGGTATTTTTCAATAACAAAATTTGTTTGTCGGAAACTTGAATTGAAATGGATTTGACGTAGTCAGTTTGCTTTCCGTTTTCGTAACTGTTGTTTTCTTAATTAAATAAGTTTGTATATCTCAAGGTACTGAACAAAGGATGAACGAGAAAGAAAAATGAAGGAAACCGAGGATCCATCCAAGAGATACACGGTT